ATAAACAGAGCCAAAACTTCCTTCGCCAATCAAGTTAGCTGATGAGAAGTCATTAGTTGCTTGACTTAACTCTGCAAAAGAAATCTTTGGAAATGGTTCTTGTATTTGCAACATTGAAGGGGCTTTCCTCTTGGATCTCCTTGCCCAAGTAAAAAAAATCAAAAACAGAAACACTGCTAATAAGATTGAGCAGGAAACAACTGGAATCACAATTTTAAGATTGTGAGACCTGTTGTTCTTCTTTAGGCCTTGGACCTTACATGGAGGGAGTCCGAGATTCTGAATGCCTCCACAGAGACGTTGGTTTCCAAGAACTGAAACTGCACTTGCATTTCCAAAGACCCCTTCATATGGAACCTCTCCTACAAATTTGTTGAAAGATAAATTCAAATGCTGCAGCAGAGTGAAATTTTGGAGATATTTTGGAATTTGTCCAGAAAAATTATTTCTTGAAAGGTCAAGGTAATGAAGACTCTTCAAAGCACTGAAGGAGGATGGGATGCTACCCATAAATAAGTTATCTTGCATATACAGTTCTTCCATCATGAGACAATTTCCCAAGGTACTTGGAATTTGTCCAGATAATCTATTGTGGGAAAGAACCAAACTAATTAGATTGGTCATATTTCCCAGCTCTAGAGGCAGTAAGCCAGATAAGAAATTTCCTGAGAAGTCGAAGATTATAATCGTAGAACTTAAAACTTCTTTTGGTATGGAACCAATAATGTTGTTATAAGATATGTTGACTTCTACAAGATGTCTACAATTTCTCAAACTAAGAGGTATTTCACCTTCTAAATTATTTCCGTCAAGATACAAATAAAGTAATTGGGTGAGGTTCCCAATTGAGGATGGAATTGTACCTGAAAATTGGTTATAATGTAACCAAAGTCCATTCAGTTTTTCTAGTCTGCCAATACTATTTGGAATTTCACCTGTGAGAAAGTCGTGATAGAGATTCAAAGTTGTAAGGCCAATCAAGTTGCCAATCCCATCTGGTAGTCTGCCTGAAATCTGATTCTCCGATATAGATAGAAATTCAAGCCTGCTTGAGAGATTAACAATTGAAGTAGGCCAATGACCTTTAAAACGATTTGCACCTAAATCCAGTATGGAGAGTTTGCTGCAATTAGTCAAAGAAGCTATGAAACTGAAGTCGTCTCCCTCCATATTTTCTAACTCATTTTCGTCAAGAGCCAGCCGCTCGAGAGCAGTCAATCTTCCTAGATTTGGAGGCACAGGTCCACTAAAATTATTGAATTCGAATCCAATAAATTTTAGTTGTGAAGCATTAGATAATGAAACCGGAAGCTGCCCAGTAAAGTAGTTA